ATGCTCGACCAAAAATTCAGAAAAACGACCATTTTTCTTTTATGGGGCCGCATAATTGCACATATTTAGGCAATTTTTAGCGCATAATTGGCGCATAATTCGCTCAGAGACGCCACATAAATTACCTCTTTTTTAGCACATAATTTCGGGTTATGAAAAACATAAAGTGCACATCCCTATACATCTCTTGTTCGGACACCTTTTGATTTTCTGTGTCACACTGCACCCAGTCGTATCCATCTCCTCACATCACCAAATGGGATTATGCCAGTGGACTGCCACGTATGCTTGACCTCGAGGCGTAATAAGTCACGAGAAGCACTGGGTCATCTGGACAACAGCAACGGCCGGAATGGCAGGAGAAGGGGTGACTTTCGTGTTCCTCGTTTCCCTGATCACTACGACCGTTTCGTTTCAACATCGCTTCAGCCTGTCTCTTTTTCGGGGCGATTATTATTTTTTCCTCGTCGAGCAGGGCAATTTGAATGATTAACCGCCTTTTTGTTTGTACGGCGATGACGACGGGGGGTGCGTGTCCATCCCAGCCGGCTCACCAGCTCACCCCTCCTCGCCTGGCGTGGCGCCGGTGGTATGGAAATGTGGGGCAGCAGAGACACACTAACAAAGTGCGCCCTCGGGAGTCAATCTCCCTCACTCTCTCCCCGCCTCCGCCCCGCCCGCCTGGTTATTTGACGTGTTTGTTCTGGTGGTGTAGTGTGGCGCCACGCCACGCCACGAGCCGTGCCCCGCCGGCGCCGCCGGCCCCCCTGACTGTGGAATGAAGGCGGATGAATACGTGCGGCGCAGGCAGGCAGGGGTAGCCCCGTGTGATTGTGTGTGCTCTGCAGGGCCCCCTCCTCACCTCCTTCCCTTAGGGGTTGTGGGGGTGTGGAGCGATTGCATCGCTGCATTATACCCATTTGCATCGGCCAGACAGTCGATACACACAATGTACCAAACTGCAAGAGAGTGGCGGCGGCATAAATCCCCTCCTCCCTCCCCCTTTCTCGCTACGTCGCGCTACTTACGCCATACACAATGTGGGCTAATGCAGCCCCGGCCCCTCGCCGAGGCCGCCGCCCTCCTGCACGCGAGGGGCAAGTACAGTACAGTGCTGTACCTGCGCTGCGACATGCCGCCGGCCCGAGCAGGGGCAAGTGAAACTTGCATAGGAACTGGACGAGGACGATGTCCTTGCCTTTGACACGGACCACGATCGTACTGACACACGCTCTCAGTCAGTCAGTTAGTCAGTCTGCAAGTCAGTCAGTCTGCAAGTCTGCAATTCTTAACTGCACTACTTTCTCTCGGCTTACAGTGTAGATTAATGTTTTTTCGTCTGTCCGCAGGGATGATGTGGTCTCGCCCCCAGTCAGGCAACAGTCACAGGGAGTCTATGATGATGAGTGAGGCCCGTCGCCAGGTGTCCGTCACCGCCTGCCCGCTGGAGCGGCTGCGACTCATCTGCCTGTCCAGGGGCGCGTCGGGCATCATGGGGCTCGGCAGGTGCGTACCATCCTGGAGATCTGTAAGACCTGGAAACTATTTCCCTGAAAACCTATATACGCGGAACCCTAGAAGACCTCGAGGAAGCATCTCTGGGGAACAAGAAGGTGTCGCTCACAGTAAACGTTTCATATGAGGCAAACGCCAAAGAGCGCCTGCTGTGGGCCGGGTAGACCAACCCGTCAAGCACCTGTGTGAAGACGGCGGCCTACCCAGAGCGGCCGGAGACCGTTGACGCCCACACCCACCACCGTTCCCTTCGCGTCACCTCGGTAGCCGTTCGGGGCCGTGTTGTGATCCAGTTCTATGCTTCTGCTGCCCAGGATGTTCCGCGTCATGGATGACGACGGCAGCAAGGCCCTCAACTGGGACGAGTTCAGCCGCGGAATGAAGGACGCCGGCCTGGACCTGGATGCGGATCATCTGCGGGAGCTGTTCGACATGTTCGACAAGGACAAGTCGGGCTCCGTCAGCCTCAACGAGTTCCTCCTGCAGATCCGCGTAAGTACAAGACTCGGTCGGTGAGCACCCACGCGACACAAAAGAGTCAAACGACGTCTAACTATCAACACGTTTTGTGATCACTTTTGTGTCAGTTCACCTGAGTAAAATCGTCATTCGGATAGACTCTGGCAACTTCGGCATTTCTTCCCGCTGTTATTCCCCAGAGCTCCTCTATGAAGTATCTACCGTTCGTGCAGGCCCCTGTGCAATCCATCAATTTTCTCTTTGAATATTAATCGCCCCCAAACTGGCACGATTAAAAAAAGAGGGGTGAACGTCACGTAGAGCGTGTCCACCACGCTCCGCTGCGCTTCGTCCCCGTCAACGTTAAGACCATCCCCAGTGCGGATGGCCTCGTAAATTAAAATGATGCGAGGTATCATCCGGTGGGATTTAAAAGTCTGATCTTGCGTCTGTAATAGACGCAAAGTAATAAACGATCGACGGGCAGGGCAGGGCAGGACAGACCGCGGGCCGAGCAGGGCGAGGACACTTATCGACCAGGGCCCGGCTGGCCCGGCTGGCCCGGGGCTGTCGTTTTCACCAACTCTGAGGCGAGTGGTAAATTGTGTGCCAGCCAGTAGGGCGGCACGATGAAAAATTTAGTCCTCCTATGATGAGGAGGATCAATAATAAATATCTCAAGTCGAAGCTGACTGATCCTTCCGTACCGGACTCGACGCGCGGCCCCGCCCCTTGAACGCGGAACCTCAACGGGGGCGCAAATGGGAGGGGAGGCGGAAGGGACTTCCCCATTGGTCTCGGGGAATAAAGGGAAAGGGAGTTGACACGTCCGACGTGACCGACTTCTCTCTTTTTTTGAGGAAGGGGGGGGGGG